TGAAGAACTCTTTCTTTCCCTCTGCCATCAGACTCCTAAACAGCTGAGGAGTTTATTACCAGGAAATACGTGATGTACTGTTTATATTCTCAGTTTGCACATTGACTGCTGCACATGCTGCTCCCATGCAGCATATATTCTGTTATTATATTCTTATATATTTTTATTGTATTGCTGCATTTGCTGCTTAAAGTGCCTTAGATTTTGTGTTATTACTCATCTACTTTATATTTCATTTGTATTTTGTGGCATTCATGTGGATGGCAAAGTAAGAATTTCATTGTACAGGGAAACACGTTTCCTAACTGTGCATATGACAAATAAACACTTTGAACCTTTGAACTTGAACTTGGAATCAGGAAAGAAGAGGCCCTCCATCGACTGGGCCTCCCAGAGCACAGACTAAACAAACCTAAGGTTCAGTGAAATTTCAACATTTCACCATAAATGCAGGATGTACATCCTTTCCAAGCTTAATAAAAAGTTGTCAATAACAGATGACATACTGCTTCTGTCACAGTGCAAAGAAAAAGTTGACAGTTTAAGCTACTGTACCGACGTGTTAGTGGCTGCTCAGCTGTTATTGTGTTGTCACCACCCGCTGGACCGGACCAGTGGCCCTGGACACGGCTGACACTGTGATAACAGTCAGGTGTGTCCTGGGCTGCTATAGTGCAGCTATATGAAACAGGAAGAGGATGAATGAAGTCTTTGCTCCTCTATGTATTTATAAAAGAGTTTTACATAACAAAACAATACATTCACTTTGTCGTTAAAACAGAAATGTCCTCTCTCTCTCTTCAGGTATGTTAGGCAGCTGTCTGCCTCGTTTTACCACCATGCCCTTCCTGTTCTGTAACACTGACAACACCTGTCGCTACGCCTCACGCAACGACTACTCCTACTGGCTGGTCACTGACCAACTGCTGTCTGACAGCATCCCATTCATCTCTGGGGAGTCCTTGAGGAATCTTATCAGCCGGTAACACACACACAAACTCATAGAGGGGTTTGTGCTACCAAAACTAAAAGTTTGCAATGAACATGTGTGTTACCGTGCACTTACATGTCACAGGTGGAGTGTATGTCTGTTTCCTGTGCTGCAGGTGTACTGTATGTGAGGCCAGAGCCAATGTGATTGCCATCCATAGTCAGACCACTGACACTCCTGACTGTCCCTCTGGGTGGGACTCTCTCTGGCCCGGTTACTCCTTTGTGATGGTGAGCTGCTGTTGGGCCGGGTGGAGTTGGGCTGCTCTTCTTTAAAATGTACTTTGTGTTTGTTGTCAGTTATGTTAGATTCATCAATCTGAACAGCAACTGGTCTTCAAAGTTACAGTAATTCATACAGAATAATATCAGTCATAATGATGTTTTCTGGTGTAAAACTGGTCCAGTTCTCAGCGGGAACTTTCAGTCAGCAGGGATCATCTATTGGAGGTGTGGGGGCCTTTACAGTCATAAACCAGAACCAGAGAGTGCGGTTGTACTGCTTTGACCTTTGACCCTTGCTTTTTATGCTCTTGGACTCCAGGAAACAGGAGTGGGGGCTGAGGGGTCAGGTCAGCCCCTAGCTTCTCCTGGATCCTGACTGGAAAACTTCCAGAAGGTCCCCTTCATTGAGTGTCATGGCAGAGGAACCTGCAACTTCTACACCGACTCCTACAGCTACTGGCTGGCTGCTCTCAACCCCTACGATATGTTCAGGTACGACACACCTTTATCAGGATGTTCAGGTACCCAACACAGACAGGTAGAACACACACTCATCAGCATGTTCAGGTAAGAGGCACCTTTACCCCTGTGTTCAGTGACGCCACTATCATAACGTTCAGGTACAGCAGCTTCATCACCTTTAAATGTGTTGGATTTGTATCGTTTCAGTTGGACCCAGTCTGCTTTTTTGCTCTGAGACTAGATGTGTGGTTTTGGTTTAATGTAGTGATACAGTTGAAGTTTCTCTTGTTTTGTTTCTGAATTCCTAAATTAATACTCAAAATATTTTAACAAGCAGTTTACTTATGGTTGACTGTTTGGGGACTGTTTTGTGAGTAGTTGTCTGAGTTTATTATTTTGTCTGTGAATACCGTCTGAAAGCACCAGCACATCCTCACACTATGTCGGTGTTCAGCTGGTGAAGTCAGTGCATCTGTCAGTCTGTCAGTCCTACTATAATGTATGAGCTGTATATTGTTTCTTCAGGATCATGGTACAAAATGCAAACAAAAAAGATCCAAATGAAAGAAAATATGAGTAGGAAGTCCTGTGATACATCTTAAAGTAGAAACACCAGCAGAGAGCAGTGTCTCCTGTTTAACCAGCAGCTGACACTGTTGGACACTCAGTCCATGTCCCTGTCACATTGGATCCAAGCTTCAGGAGGTTTCACTCTCAGTCTGTGGAACAAGTTCAGTTTAATAAACTGGTCTTTTTCAGCGTTAACGACGAGTCTGCCTGTGTCTCTTCCTGCAGTAAACCGAAGCCTGAGATTGATAAAGGAGAGTTTCCAGGTAGTCTGATCAGCCGCTTTCGAGTCTGTATGAAGAGGCTGTGAACACCAACACTGCTGCTAACACTATTAACGTTAGTATTACAATAGAACTACTTCACACCAGCACTGAGCGAAGAGTTGAGAGGGAAACTTTATGCAAAGTGAACAGTGATGAGTTGCAGTCAAAGCATAAATTCACTTGATTAGATTAGATTAGATTCAACTTTATTATCATTACCCATGTACACGTACAAGGCAACAAAACACAGTTTAGCATGTAACCATCTACAGTCAGATCTAATTTACCCATAGATATGTACGATTGATATTAACAGTAAGATATGTAGGGTAACGTACGATGTACAACAGACTTTATGGATAAAAATGACAAGTAGTGGATAAAGTACATTAAGCTTATAAAACACTAGTGCAATGGAATGAGAAGGAATGAAATAGTGCAAAATAAGAAGATAAACAATAAGTTAGATGAGTGAACAGTTCAATGGATGTAAATAGTGCACAAGATTATCTATATGTATCTTGTGTTATAGTCTTGGAAACTACTGTATAGTACAGAAGTGCAAAAACAAAACCAAAAATAAAAAAGATTTGGAGGAACTTATTTACAAGACCCTGAGTAATGGTGCTGGAATTCCTCAGAAGTCCAGGTTTTTAAAGGTTCTTTAGTACCACAGTCATTCAGTGACAGGTGCCAGTACATCCAATGGCATTTTGCACAAACGAGATGTTAATACAATCACCATGCTTAACATTTCACAACATCAACAAATATCATCTAAAAGCAGCCGCCCACAGTGTGACTCTTTGTATCCATGGCAGCATTTTACTTCCTGTTTCTTGTCAGTTTTATATTAATCTGTAAGTGACTGCTGTTATTAGTACTACTACTTTAAGTGCTACTTTTACTACTTCTGCTACTATTATATACTTGTTATAACTTCTAAGTACTCTTACCGCTACTTTCTTTCTTGACTTTTATTTACTTTGTACTACTGTAAGCACTGGTCCTGCTAGAACTACTGCTAATATGCTGTAAGTCGTGCTACTGCGATTACTGCTACTGTTATAAGTACTGCTACTGATACTACATACAGTTGATGTTTTGATATTACACAGATCACAATAGTATTTTTAACTAAATCAGTCAGTGTGGTGAAGTACTACTGCTGCTCCAATCTAAGTCCTGCTCCTGTAGTACAACTGCTCTGGCTACTGTCACCACTACTAACACTATAACCACTACTGTGGAGCTGCAGTAGCTTTCTCTGCCAGACGAGGGCACAGCTGAGACACCACAGAAGAAGACGATCTTGAGCAACTGCAGTTCCTGGCACAGCCTCCAGGTGGAGTGCGAAGAAAACTTGATGCCAATTAGAACCAATACAAGACTGATACATTTTTATTTTCTGCATGGCAACAAAGACTGCAGCTCTCTGACGGGTGCTCCTCTGAGCAAAGCATTCTGGGAGAGGTAGTCTCCTCTCATAAAGTTGTTCTGTTAACTTTAATTATTTATCAAACAATAATATAAAAGAAAATACAGATGCGTTCAGTGTCTACGGGGTCAAATGATGGTTTCACAGCCTCGTTGTTTTCAGATGTACATATTCTTATGCTGTAACTGCTACATGTACAGAAACAGTGATAACTGGGATAACCATCTGTTTTGTGAATATGATTTTTGTTGCATTTAATAAAACATTCTGCTTTTTTGTATTGTTCCAATGCAAACAAAAATAAACATGGAAAGCAAAAAAATCTGTGATTGCAACAGTTTTCTGGGAGAAGTGGTGCGTTATCTGACAGAAATGCAGGGGTGCCAATATTTTTGGCCATGACTTTACACAGGTGTTTCTTGCTCTCACTTTCCAGCTGTTCATACTGAACATGAAACCATATTTATCTGAAGCTGAGAACTTCCAAAGTTACAAACTGTTTAGCAACAAATTCCCATGAACAGTGCCTGTGTCGAGCTGCAGTGTAACTATAGAAGATCCTGTTTTCATGTTTCAGAGTTTCTATCAACTTTGAAGTTGGACTGTGGATCCACGACAAGAACATGTTTAATGTGCAGTGTGAACAGGAGCAACTGGTTTCGGTCATCATACAGACACCAGACTGGTGTTTTTAAGACCATGTGCCCTGTATTGTCAGGTCTCCTCCTGGATTCAGGTCGGGGGACAACAGATGAGTTTCTGAGTAACAGCATCAGAGAAATGTGGCAAAGAATGACTCAAAGTTACCAAGAGCCGCTGAGGAGATAAACATGAAAAGTTTTAGTGTCTAAAACTGGGCAAACCACAAAGGTACTGAGTGGAAGCTCATGTGAAGAAGGGACACTGCCTGGTAGCTCAGAGAGCAGAGCGAGCTGCGAGCTGCAGAGGCGTGATTCTCCCACCCGGCCCAGCGTTTCCAGAATCATGGTGGGAAACAAAAGTAGAACAGAAATGATTAGCAGATCAAAAGTAACTGTTTATTAAACCGCTTCATTAAACCACTCATTTTTCGTGTAAGACCATGGTCCAGCTCGTCCAGTGTGAAGTTTTGCTGCTTTTCCTTTTTGTGCACTCTGTTGATTTTCAAGTCAGTGTGTGAAATGTCTCCGTGATTGTTTCTGTGTCTCTGTCTCAGCTCTGATGTGTTTAATTTAATTTAAATTCAACAGCTTTCCAGTAATTTTCATGTTTGTGGCGTCTCTCGATGATTCACTGCAGGAAAGGTAACGCATCACAGGG